AGAGTAAAAAAAGTGTGATGAATTGTACAAAGGGGGAGCTAGTTGCCCTATCTGTCCAGGGGAGTTCAGATACTAATGTTCGAGGTGGTTTTAAGAAGAATGACTCTCAGAAAAGAACATATGATAACAGTAGCTTTGGTGCACTCACTGCCAGAAGACAAGACACACCAGAGATACTTGTTGGGATCTCCATGGAAAACCTAAATGGGCACAGGATTTGGGTAAGAAGTCAATAACTAATCAGGGCAAGAAACCAAGTAAGCAGAATTAGAAAAAGTACAACTCAGCTAATATGGTATCTCAAGAGACTAGTCCCATGGTTACTCAAGAAAAGCATCATAGTTCCGAGCCTAAGGAATAGATCATCAACTCCTTCCGTAACCATTTGGAGTTATATGGTAGGACTCTCCGCCAGATGGATTCTAGTCCTACTCTTCCTATCCTTTTTGTGTCTACGTCAGCTAACACTGCCATTGTCTTCCATGTGTCAACATCTCATACCTCTGACTTTCCTTGGGTAATTGACTCTAGAGCCTCAAACCACATGATTAGTAAGTCAAATTTATTTCAGGCATACAAACTTCTCTGTAGGAGAGATAAAGTGAGACTAGTTGATGGTTCTTTCTCCACTATAGCCGGCTAATGAACCATATCTCTCCCACTTGGCCTTACCCTTTCTAATGTACTGCATGTTCATAAATTACCTATAAATTTGCTTTCCAATAATAGTATTACTCACTCCTTGAATTGTTCAGTTAGCTTCTTTCCGTTTTCATGTGTGTTTTAGGATTTGACCTCGGGAAAGACGATTGGTAAAGGAAGCATGATGAATGGTCTCTATGTGTTGGAAAATAAAGCTAGTCTTGTGGCTATAGAGTCATTGAGTTCATCTAGTGAGAGTCAAGCCTATCTATGTCACAGTTGTCTTGGTCATCTTTCTTTTGAGTCATTAAAAGTTATGTTTCCAAAGTTGTTTAAGTCTTTGTCAATGAATCAGTTGTAGTGTCAGACATGTCAATTGAGTAAACATTATAGAAACTCTTTTCCTTTGAGAAATAAAATATCTAAAATTTTATTTCATATTGTTTATTCTGATGTTTGGGCCCTGTTACTCTACTTATTGAGCCTAACTTAATCAATGATTACTCTATATACACCTAGATTTACACTATGCAATCTAGAGATGAAGTGCCTAAAATTGTAAAAGACTTTCAACGCATGGTGTTCACTCAGTTCCAAATTAAAATTCATATTTTCTAGTCGGACAATGCATAAGAATACTTCTATAGTGATCTCACGGAATTATTTCCTTTGAGTGGATCTCTTCAATGAAGCTCTTATGCTAGGACACCCTAACAAAATGGTGTTGCTAAAAGAAAAAACCATCATCTTCTCGAAGAGGCTCATGGCTTGTTAATCCATATGAATGTTTCAAAACGTTTTTGGATGGATGTTGTTCTGTGTGTTGCATACATCATCAACCATATTTCATCTCGGTTACTAGAGTATAAGGCCCCACATCAGCTTTTGTTTCCTATAGCTCCACTATCCCCCATTCCAATGCGTGTTTTTGGGTGTTGTTGCTTTGTTCATAACTTGTCCCCTACTCGAGGTAAACTTGATCCTCGTGCTATTCCTTGTGTTTTCCTTGGTTACCCTTTATCTCAAAAGGAATTGCTTTGTAAATTTTGGGTTTAGAACATAGAGAAAAATTGATAGATTAAAACTGGGTTTAGAAGAGAAAAACTGATAGAATAAAACTGAGTTTCGTATTCGTCCAACAAATGAGAGAAACCTTAAGCCCTACTGGTTTCTTATCGTTAGAATAGCGAGAGAAAAAAGAATTCCAAAACAACCTAGCTTACAAGTTGAACACGATTAGGAGAGGCATGGGACGTGCTATAATCATGATGTAGCAAGGGTCTAGTCATTGGACGTGGCCAGATTCGTTACTTTTACATTGACATAGCTTGGCACGTCTCTGCCGACTTTTTAATTCAAGCTCATCTAATTGGTTCTTTTGATAAATATGTGGATTAAGAAATAAGAAAAATTAAAAAAAAACTGAAAATTAGAATAGGGGGTTCCCTACAAGGAAAGGGCTGCTGACATATATACATATATATATATATATATATATATATATATATATATATATATATAAACAAAGCAAATAAGAAGTTTTCTCATTTTTTATTTTTTTTAATCCATATTATTTTTGGAACAACCAATGAGATGCACTTTAACCTAAATAATCACTTCTCCTAAAATTTCTCCGAAACTACCTCCCCCACAATCCCCCACTTTCTCCAAAATTATCTCTAATTCCTATTTATCTTCTAAATTATCTCTAATTCCTATTTATCTCAAAAATTATCTCTAATTTAGTAGAAAGTTTYTCTCCTAAATTATCTCTAATTACTATTTACCCTCTCCCCAACTTTTTATCTATATGTATCTAAAGAAAATTTGGATTAAAAAATTAAAGAATTATTTAAATATTCTAGGAAAATTATATAATAACTTTAAAATATTTATTAAAAACACAAAAAAATAATTATATATGTTTACAAAGTATATCACAATATTATGTTCTAACGATTTAAATTCTGTTTTTCTAGATGATCAATTTAAATGTTATTCAAATAATAAAAACTTAGCATTAAAAATAAAATCTTATTTAAATATTTCAATAAATGAATATCATAAATAAAAAATATTATAAATATATAAATAACTATATAAAAAATATTTAGTAATATGTAATAGCTTTCAATAAATAAAATTCAAATAACAAAAAATTAAATATTTATATAAATATTTAACATAACTAGATTTTAATATAGTAAAAATAACGAAAATATGTAATAAATTGAAATAATCTCATAACAGTAGAAAAATAATTATAACATAATATTGAAATTAATAATAATTCGATATATTACAAAATTAATAATAAAGTTATGTAATAATAGTATAAATTATAATTTTATGGATTATTAAATTCAATAAATAATTAATATTTGAAATTTAAATATTTTACATATTATTTAAGTAGTTAAGTAACTAAATATTTAACATTACTAGATTTTAAATTAGTTAAAATAAAGAATTTATGTGATAAATTTAAAAAAATATGAAAAGTAGAAAAATAATTATAACATAATATTAGAATTAATAATAATTTAATTTTTTTAAAAATTAATAATTAAATAACTTTAATAATAATTTAATATTTTTATATAATATTGTAAATAACAAATTGCACTTATATCAATTAATAATTCAAGAAAACAACTTTCATAAAAATTAATATTTATTAATACTTTTAAACTCTTAATATATATTTATAATATAATTATATATTCTAATATTAATATTTATTATATTCTAGTAATTATTTATCATTTTTTGTGATAAATGTATTTTTAGTATAATTATGTATAAATTTATTTTTGTTTTGTTATTTATAAAAAAACTTTCAATAATTATTGGAGATTAAACTACTAATATTGAAATTTTTAATTTTTTATTGTACTTATTATATTTATTGTATTTTTTATATAACTTACTGATTAATGTTTATTAGTGATTATACTATTTATTGACTAATTTAATATATTTTTGGTACTTATTGTATTTTTTCATTATCAATATATTTTTCAATAATTGTGTATTTTCGCTATAAATTTTCAACAATTATTGGAAATTAAAATATTGTTATTTATCATAGATGAAATATTAATTTATCTGAAATTATGAGCGTTAATGAGTTGGTTCAATTTGGTTGTAGGTTGTTTTGCCAACCAAATTGACCTGGTCAGTTGAAACCGATTAACCATTTGTGAAAATCGACCCACTCAAGTTATATCAGTTTGGGTTAATTTTTGTGGTTTGGTCAGTTGGTTCAAAAGATTTAAACTTGAAAATTAAATTTAAATTTTAAAAATTATAGTGTAATTATTAAAAAAATAAATTAAAAAATAAAATTTATGATATAAAACATTTTAGATTAAGAAATATGAAAAATTTCCCACTTTTCCATATTAAAAATTATATTTAAAATATAAAATATTAATATATATCAAAGGTTAAGTCATCCAATTTTGATCGATTTATAAATGGCCAAAGTGAAACTGATCCAATATGGTCATGTCAAGTTGATCGGGTTCATCAATTTAATGAACAAATTTAACTGAAATCAATTATTGTTATTTTTGTATTATAAGAATTTTATCAAAAGTAGTATATAAAATATGAATAATTATTAATTATTTAAAAAATTGAAAATATAAAATAGTTGTATACTCTTATGTGTTTTTATTAGGGCCACTTAGTAGACCACACCTTAGAGTTTTACATATTTATTTAAACCTACCTTATAGTTTTCATGTTAATAAAATATCTCATATATTTTATAACATATTTACTTAATCAACCTTTCATTAAGGAGTGTTTGTTTTGCTATTAGGGCCATGATTTTTTATTTCAAAAATACCCTTATCACTTTTTTGTACATAAAACAAAATTGATTGAATATAGCCAATAGAGTGGTAGCCCATGTCCTATTAGGGGCAAAAATGGCATTTTATTTTTATTTTCTTTTGATAAATTTATTTAAATAAGCATTAGAGTCGATACTATAATTTTCCACTATCAAATGGAAGATTGATTAAATCCATAATAAATTATAAGTGGTATTTTAGTAAAATAGGATAAATTTTAATATATCTATAAAAATATAACGAGTATTTTAGTAAATGATTATTTTTATTATTTAATTTTTGCTTAAACAATCAGGTACATCGCACAGTTCCCCGCTACTATATATATATAAATTTGAATAAATACTTATTTTAAATGAAATCAGACAATACGAAAGACTACGGTCGGCTAAGAATGCACAGACAGACCAATACACCTCGATATTTGAGCCAGTGCCCTAGTTCGAATTTCCAATCCACAACAATTCTACCCATTGCTACAAACTTAACATCACATAGCGAACATCTCATTCTCTCATGTTATTTTGAACAGAGAGATATTCCTAATCCATGGAGGTAGTGTTTTTGCGGGTAAGGATGGGTAGACTTTATGCGGGCAGGCGATCCGGAGCCAATTTTCAGGCGTTCACCTGCTTCCAAAGAGCGCACTCTAATCCGCATTCCTCCAACAGTGGGAATGTAGTGGTTCTCTCTTCCTTGGCGTTTCGATCAACTGCAGAACCATCGGTGTCCACAGAAGAATCCTTCTTTTACGTTGATAAACACTGGGAGTCCTCTCATTCTCTGTTCCAAATCGGCCATAGAAGAGCCCCTTCCAGGTTGGTCCATCACTGAATGTGGGTTCCTGAACATGCCGAGTTAAATTTTCTTCTGTCTGTTTCGCTGGCTGGGTTGGACTAAGATTCTGATATTCAGTGCTCTAGGGCTTTTGTTGCTTTTTCTACGTACAACAAGCAAGTTTCTTGGGTTAATGTGCTCTACCATCAATGTTTTTTTTTTTTTTTTGTTTCGATTGCTTTGTTGCAGGCAATAATCCGGTGGGGTTGTGTTACTTTTCTATTTTATTCGATTTTTTAGGGCTTTGGTTGTTCTATTATATAAAATAACTTGGTGGGGTGTATTATGATTCTCTGTTATTCAACTTTATAGGGTTTTGACATACAATATCTGGTGGATTTGGTTAATATTTTCTTTTCTTCAGTGTTCTAGTGGTTCGGGTGATTTATTACATAGAAAGATGTATGATTTGGTAACTATTGTCTGTTCTTTGATGTTTTAGGACATTGCTTACCATATCAAGTGTTACATTTACCGTAGTACTGGAGTGCATTGCTTTAATTGGACCATGAATACATTTCTCAACTGTTCTACAAAATAGAATCAGTTTTAACTCTGATTTGTGTAGAACTAATATTTAGGAATGGTGTCTAACTCGGAGAAGGAAATCTTATGCTATTGCATGAGTGGTGGTGAATTAGTAACATATCCAGATGGATCTGTTTCTTACAAAGGCGGCATTACAAAAGGAGTGAAAGTTGACAGCAATACCAAATACAGTGATTTTGTACGCGAGCTCTGCAGCAAATTTGAAATTGATCCAAACACAGTAACCTTGAAATATTCCACTCCATTTGACAAGAGCCGCCTTCTTGCTTTGTCAGATCAGTCTGATTTTGCAAATTTGCTAGGTTTTAACCAAGGATTTGCGGATGTGTATGTAGTTAAAGAAGAGAGGTGTGTAGAACCCCAGGAAACTACAAGGTAATTTGCATAGTGATGACATTTTTCTTTTATGGCAGATAATGTTCTTATTATCATTGATAAGTAACTCAAATTACTATGATCCAGGTGCTCTGGAGATGTTTTGGTAGGATCTGTAGTTGAAGATTCTAACCTTGAGGAAGCATCAAACAAGGCAAATGACAAAGCTCCTTTGCTGTCTGCATTATGGGAGAATGCCATAAAAGGGGTAGGACAGATGTTTCACAGTGGCAATGAGTTCCGAAATGCACTTGCCAATTTCTCAATAGCTTGCCGTTTTGGGTATAAGTTAATCAGGAATGACCGTAAGCGCATAACTGCACAGTGTGATGCTGATGGCTGCCAATGGAAAATCTATGCTTGTAAAGTAGGAAAGACCAACATATTTAGGGTACGCAAATATGAAGATAAACATACCCACCCAACTAATTATGAGGAGACTGTGAAGTGCCGAATAACAACGAAGTGGGTTTCTAATATTATAAAGGAAAAATTTCAAAACAACCCTGATTATACACCACGGGAAATAATTAAGGAAATAAAGCGTGACTACAATGTTGACATAGCTTATAAACGGGCCTGGCGGGGCAAGGAAAGTGTAAAGGAGGCTGTAAATTTATCACTGAAGAACTCCTTCACGCTTGTACCTTGGATTTGCCAAAGACTGATTGAGTCTAACCCTGGCACTGTTGCTGTGTACACGTCAAAAGGTGACTTAACATTCCATCAGCTATTTATTGCTTACTATGCTTCTATTCATGGGTTCCGTGTTGGTTGCCGTCCTATTCTTTTTGTGGAGGAGAAATTCTTGAATGGAAAATATCTTCATACATTACTTTCTGTGACAGCTGTGGATGCTGACAATAGGATGTTTCCCGTGGCTTTTGCTGTGGTTGAGTCGGGATCCTTGGAAAATTGGAGATGGTTTTTTAGAAATGTAAAGGTGGCTCTCAATGACAATAGAGATATCATTTTTGTGTCTGACCGGACGGAAGACATTGTTAAGGCAGTTGAGGAGATATATGGGTCAGTGCTTCATGCACATTGTTACCGCCACCTGACCGGACGTTTCAAGATGATGTTAAAATGCTTACATTTGTCCCCTTCAGTGCGGGATGTGCTAAAGATGTTATTGGATAAAATTGCATATGCAAAGACTAGGGTAGATTTTGACGATGCTTTGGGCAAAATGAGGTCTATTTCAGAGGAGGCATATGGCTGGGTTCTGAAAAATGAACCTATTCACTGGGCTAATTCACTATTCCCTGGCAAGCGTTATGACCAGTTCAGTGTGAATATTGCCGGTTCTTATGGTGCATGGATTCCAGAAGCACAAGAGTTGTCCATAATAGAATTGATTAACCTAATCTGTAAAAATATAACAGATATCATGGTTGGAAGGCAAACTAATTGTGCTGCCTGGAAATTTCCTGTGGGTGGTACAGTTGAAGAACTGTTGAAAAAGAATATTAGCAAAAGTGAAGGATTACATTTCCGTCGTACATCAGCCTTTAGATTTGAAGTTTTTGGGGTTCCTATCAATTATTGTGTGGACCTGCACCAAAGGACATGCTCTTGTAGGGAGTGGGATATGGTTGGTCTCCCATGTATACATGCATGTGCAGCCCTTAAAAGTATTCAAGCTGACATTTATTCATATGTGGAAAAATGCTACCTAAAAGAGACACAAAAGGCCATTTACTCAGAGTGCATGCGTGCAGTATGGACGAATGAAATACCTCATGGTACCTTCATGAATGGGATTGTTGATGATGCTTCAAATTCTGGACTTGGTCTTCTTCGTCCTCCTCCTCCATGTGCTCGCCGTTTGCCTGGTCGTCCAAGGAAACATATGGAGTCTCGAAACAAAGAAAAAAATATGGAGCCTCAAAACAAAGAGAAGAGGCCACTTCATTGCAGTCTATGCAAGGAGACTGGCCACAACCGTAGGAGATGTAAGAACCAGATGTAACACTATACAATTGAGGTATACATAGTTCTTATTTCTTTTTTTTTTTTTTTTGAAATCTGACCATATTAAATATGAAACAACATAACATATAGAAAGAGGGGTTAGCATTGGTAATCTAGGTTCTTCAGGAGTGGGAATGGTGTTTAGGGATGGTTATGGTGGAGTGAAGGTGCTTTTCTTGGGGCCTATTATGGATAAAACTCTTTAAGAGCAGAACTGTTGGCTGTATTACAATAGTGAATCTAAGACATTTAATGGACATCAGAAAGTTGATAATGGAAGGGGACTATCAGTTTGTTTCATTCACAATAAGAGCCAGGCAATGTGGCAATTTAGGCAAGTTTTCAAGAAGATTCTGTGGTTGACGGGTGGAAAGGATATATCATTTAAATGGGTCAACAGGTCAGCAAATGGAATGGCTGACATGTTAGCAAAATTAGGTTAATAGACAGCAACTTTTCTGGGCCGCAATATATTGATTTCAACATGTATAGGGATAGGTGGAGTACTTCCATCGCATAAAGGGGTTTCAAAATACTTTGTACATATAGATTCTTTATATAACTTAATAAAGTTTTACAGTTACGCGTCAAAATATATATATAAAGAAGGGTTTCATAACCCCAATAAATCCCTAGGTTACTAAGTAGTCCTAGCTGCCTAACCCCAATATAAATTTTAGTAATATATAACAAACTAGCTACTGGCTTCTTCATTTGTTAGCTCCCAATATAGTTGTACCCTGTTTACCCCTTGTTTGGATAACATATCCGCAAAGTCATTTGCTTCCCTTATGGTGCATTGAAATATTTTTTGCAATTCTTGCTTCAGCTTTCTATTTTCCCTCATTACTTGCCTATATTTATTTTTTTTTTGAGAAATGGTGAATATTACCAAAAGATTAGAAAAAGATAAGGCTACCGAGGTAGAGTTTCCTCAGCAGCCAGGTACAGATAAATGCAACAGGTTATGGATTACAACGAGAAATCATCATCCCATACAATAGCATTCCAATGATCAACAAAATGCTTAAAATGGGAACCCCTAAATAGATTGTGAATGGAGATCAATTTCACCAAAGTTTTCTCAGTTGCAGCACACACTTTCTCCAGAGGACTGGCCTTGTCTTCAAACAAGCCTGACCACGCCACTGAGGAAAGAGGAAGGCATGGTCTGAGGGGGTGATCTAGTTCATACGAAACACATGAGTCCAAACCTTGGGAGAGTAGTTGCAAAGGATGAGCAGATGATTGGCAGATTCCTCGGCCTCCTCACATAAACAACATCGACTAACAAGGATCATCCCTTTTCTCCTCTACACATCAATAGTGGGAATTTTATCCTTGATGGAAACCCAAATAAAGAACTGAACCTTCAATGGAATGGCTGTCTTCCAAAACCAAACCCAAGGGGGGAAAGGTTCATCTGTGAAAAGCAAAGAATTCAGCATCGACTTCACTGTAAAAATAGAAGAAGCTTCTTTGGTCCACCAAATCCTGTCAATACCTAGGGGTTGAAACTGAACTTTTTCCATAGCTTGCAGTAAACCAACAAGAGCTTCCACTTCCCAATCATTTGTCTCTCTTCTAAGCATCAACATCCAAACAAGCTGGTTGAAAAGTCAAGACATTCACAGACCTGTGCTTCCGTGTTGTGAGTCAAAGCAAATACTAAAGGAAAATCCATGCTGAGAGGGTTGGCACCGCACCCCGTCTCTCCAGAAAAAAATTCTTTTGCCAAAACCAGGCTTGAAAGAAATGCAGCTGAAAAAAAGATTCCTGTTCTGCAAAATACCCTTTCACACACTCATTCCAAAACTTTCTGGTGTTGCACCTGATTCCCAGCCAAAGGAAGCTTCCCCATATATGTTCTGGATTACAGATTTCCTAAGCAGGTCACACTCCGTTGTAAGCCTCCACAGCCACTTGGTTAGCAAAGTTATGTTCATTTGTTTGAAAGGCTTAATGCCTATGCCCCCTTGCTATTTGGATTTACAGAATACAGACCTCAGACCAAGCCATGAAGTGAAAACTCTTTTTCTCTTCCAAGCCATCCCTAAGGAAGTCTCTCCTCAAATTTTTAATAGTTCTAATCACCAAGGCAGAATCCTTGAACAACGACATAAAATAGGTGGGCAGGTTTGAAAGGACACTTCTGATAAGAGTGGCTCTTTCTCCTTTTGACAAGTAAACTTTCTTCCAGCTGGCTAGCTTGAATTTAATCCTTTCAATTACTGGGTTGCAAATGTCCTTCGGTTTACAGTGTCCCCATGGGGAAGCCCATCAAATTTCGAAGGAAAACAGCTTACTCCACAACCCAAAACAGCAGCCAGTTCGTCAAGATGTGGCACCTCCCCTACAGGGATTAGAGCTGGCTTTTTGCAGATTAATTTTCATACCAGAGGCAGTTTCAAAACAAATGAGGAGGCACCTAAAGGAAAAGCAAATCCTGATTGATGGGCCTTGAGAAGATTAAAGAATCATCAGCAAATTGGATGAGAGTGATTGGATTACCATTCTTAGAACTGTGAAACCCTCCATTTAATCCCACAGACTGCACGGTCAATGAGTTTGCTTAGCCTTTGAGGTTGCCATTAACCATAATTGAAAATTTTGCTGCAGCCATACAACTTGTGATCCACTCCCTCCACTTCATGCCAAAACCCAATCTTCTTAGAATATACTCACCAAAGTCCCATTGAACATGGTCATATGCCTTTTCCAAATCCAACTTGCAAACTACACCTGGAAGTTAGAACACCTGCTTTGAGTCAAGAGTCAATTCATTCATTTGCCTTCCATCCACGAAAGGAACGTGTGAGGGGCAGTCCTAACTTATCCATGAGAACTTATCAATTGTTCTTGGTCGAAGTTTGATTTCTCTATGAGAACTTTGAATCTCAGCGAATCCTCCCTCTTATCCATGAGAGAAATGTTCCCTCATTGATGCTTTCTGAGTTGATGACAGGCACAGGGAAGACCATGGATCAGTTCTTTTGCGAGTTCTTACCATCTTTGTAAACATTGAGATAAGGGCGATTAATACGGGGGAGAAGATGACGTCAAAGGAAAGCTTCCTGCCGGCAACAAAATGGAGGATGATAATGGTTGTGGAAAAGAAAAGATTTGTGCTGGAAGAAATCGGAGGAGGTTCTGCAATTAAAGTTAGAGAAGATAAGAGATCTGTTGTAGTCTTGGGGAGGGAAGCAGTCTGTTGGTTTAAAGGTTTCCTTGATGGAACAATTTTTGCCATCACAGAGCCTGAATGGAAAGGAGAATTGGTGATAAGTAGGAAGAAATTCTTGGTGGAGAAGAAAAGCAAGAACAGGGGTACCTATATTCAGCTAATTGAAGTGTTTGGAAATGGAAAGAAGCAAGTGGTTTGTATACCAGAAGGAAAAACGAAGCAAGGTTGGATTTTGATTGCTGGTTCTCTCGATGATTTCGAACAAAGAAGGTTGGGATTGGAAAGAAAATCAGTCCTTCCTATCCAAGAATTAGCTGCTGATAAGAGCCTAGCAATTTCACAGGTTGGAGAAAAGTAGAAAGAAAATATAAGAGGTGTCAGTGGAACTATTGCGTGTCCAAAGCTTGTATTAGAAGGACCTTTAGAAGACTGGGAAAAGAAAAAGGTGATAAGTCTCAAGGGGGAAGTGGTGGACTGGAATGGAATCCTAGCCGATGTCATGAAGACGATTCTTGAGATTGAACACGCATTCCTGTTTCTGTTTGAGAAGAAGGCTGCTATCTTGGACCTTGGTTGCCCTCTTGAGGTTGCAGCAAAGATACAAACACAGGAAGGTTGGGCCTTGCTACAAGGTTGGTTTTCGTCCTACAATGAGTTTGTGTTGGAGGAAGAGGAGGTTATTCAATTAAAACTGATTGGGTTTCCGTTCAATCTTTGGAAGCAGGAGGTTTTCTCCAGAGTGGCAGATCTCTATGGAGGGTCGCTCATTGCAGTTAACCTTTCTTCCCTTCAAGCCACTAAGATCAAGATTCAGGGTTCTCATCCGCAGAGAGTTACGAGGTTTGTTGAGATTTCTTCAGGCGGACGATGCTGGAGAGTCTGGTTAGCATTGGAAGTTGAAATGGTGCTATGGGAGAAAGGCAAGGAGGTAGGAGGCAATGGTGACGTGTCTAGAGTGTTGCCAAGTGGACAAGAGTTTATGGAAAATCAGCAGTATAATGTCGGTTCTGCTTTAGAAGGTGGACTATTGGGCTTTAAGTCATTAAATATGGTCTCTTTAATTTTTTTTTGAATTTCATCGTTCGGTTAGACCGATGGCTAAACCGTTGTTTGTGGATATTTTGAGGGAGGGGGGTAAAAAGCATGGTCCACCCGCTGATCCTGGGTCGAACTGGCAACCCAAACCACCTGTTATGACTAGGCCACATGATAACTTAAAGAGCATGTGTGAGGCTTTTAATAGGGCGATGGAGGATGGCATTTGCAATCTATCATCGTCCCCATCGTCCCAAGGCAATCGAACTGGTTCGAAGCTCTCGCAGCTGCAGTGGAAATGTCGCAATAGGCCTAATCCTCGATATGAAAGGTCAAAGGCGGACTGGGAGGAAGATGACGATGACATAGAGGATCTTTGGGTTCATTGTGAAAACTTAGATGATGGTCTCTCCTTTGAAGATGATTCCAGTAGTAGAAACTAAGATGACGGAGATACTGTTCAGGTCAGTGTAGAGAGTGGGAATGATTTTCATATTGGTTCACCCTTTGATAAAAAGGAGGTATCAATAAATAAGGGGAAATCACAAGTTGAAGACATACTCCTCTCAACTATGAACAAAGATGTTGTCTTATGGCCGTCACCGATTAGTGGTGTGAAGGATCATCCAATTATTCAGGAAGGGATTAGAGGTGCCTAAGGGGGTAAGGAACTAATCCCAGATGAGAGACAGGAGCATGGTGATAAATTGGTGTTTCGGCAGGAGAACTAGGAGATTACAAAAGATACTCTGGGAAGGGGTACAAGTTTTGGTTTGGCCAAGTCAAATAATCCT